CCATTTGACATTTAGCACCCATATAAGTGTAACGTCTGTGACCAGGACTGTAATTTGCATGCAAATGTCAAAAGCTAAAAGGGTCTCTTAAGCCATAAAACCCAAAGATCATGCATGATTCTACGCAGACGCTACACGTAGCATCTGTACCATTTACCAAAATGCTTTAAAGAAGACAAAAGCACTAAATCAAAAAAAGCAAGCATCCAGTTAAAACTAAATCTTAGAACAAAACTGACATTTTAAGCAAAACTTAAAATAAATAAGTTCACATAAACCAGCTGTGGCGTGACTGGAACGATTTGGAAAAGTTCAATTATGAACAGTTAGCAATTTGAAAGGAAATTATGTAAATTATGTCAGGAGCTTGCTTTTAAGAAATTGAAGTAAAAGCCCTTAACCAAGGAGGCGGCGGAGAACTTTGTCACACATACAAAAACACAAAAGCTCATTAACGCAGACTATGCTTCATTAACGCAGAATCAAAAAAAGGAGTATTTTTCTCCAAAAAAAACAAACAAAAACATAAGAGTAAGATATTAGGTCGAGTATACAGCAATTCCATGAATTACTGCCGTTCTATGTTAAGTGAGCAAGGAAAAGAGATCATGTGTAAAAGCTGACCCCATCCCTCACGGTTCACCGGCCTTTTACACATGGATGACTTCAGGGGCGGTATGCAAAGGATTGAAGTCTCAAAAGCCATGTTAGATACTTATTTCAAGAAAACAAACATGCACCCCATGACTCCAGTTATGTCTATCTGCATTAGAAACTAACAGACAGTCTGGTTTCTGAAGACAAAAGGGGTTTTATTGAATATGCATTCCTCCCATTTACAAACGACTGCTGTGGGGATGAAAATAAATTCAATAGGGTGTTGTAGGTCATACATGTGTAGTATTTCCACTGAATTGTTGCCATGACAGCGCATTCACACCAGTAGCAAACCACTTTGGCTTACTGTAATTCACGTAAGTAAATTAGCAGAGCTTGGTTTCCAGCTCTCTCTCTGTGTGTTGTTTCTCTCCACCTATAAAGAAGTGAGTAGGAAGTATTTCTAAATCCCAGTTTCAATTTCATATTGTGTGGGTTTTAGAATTCGCCAAATCCATCTATTCAGAATGAAAGACGCACATAAACACACAATATACAGCAAACTGTGTGAACTTCAGGTATTTCACTCTGCACACAGTCTGGGTGTGAAATGAAAGAGATCAACAGATATTTATAGCTGCGTATACAATAAAGAATGGCCCTGCATCTAAGGGTAAACCCTGTTCACACTGAGACTGACATACTGTAGCGACAGAAACTAATTTCATCAATTCATTTTCAATGAGTCAGTGATTTCCCCTGACAAGAGTGGCAAGATTCAGTGGTGACACAATGTGGCTGTGTCCTTCAGTGTGATAAATTTGAGTAAAGTTACATTTCATGCAAATTAGGAGTGATGCGTTTAGCGACCACCAATTGGAGTGAAGATAGTGGAGATAAAAAAAAATATATATATAAAAAATTATAAAATAAAAAAACACTCCTTTCCTGGTATTAAAAAAAGAATGAATTTGTGACAGCTGAATGTACAATTTTGTCTATCAAAAAATAACATACACAATACACAGTAGTATTTACAAGAAGCCTAAAGAGATCCATGGAGTGCCCGCATTTCCTGGAAAACTACTGGAAGTTTTGCCTTCATCACTTTCAGAGAAGAAAGAGAAAATGGTGCCGTAAGCGCCCTCAACATGCTGTCTGTCAGAGTCCATAACGTACCTAATAAAACTCATGTGGGTATGCATTTGTTCTTCACGCGCTGAAACTGATGTGAAATGTAGATCTTATCCATTATTTAAAAGATTAAGGCAATTATCAAAGTTTGAGAAAATGTTTAATTTTTCAATAAAATATGGTACATTTTTATGTGATTTGTTGCATTTAATTACACCTAAGTAGATTTTGACTCATACTGTATATATTTCTCATTGTATTCATTGCATTCATTGTCAAAATACAATGAAATCAACAACACAGAGCCTACTAGCGACCAACAAGTACAGGAACGTAGCGACCTCCAGCGATAACATCGCAGTCAGTGTGAAGGGGGCTTAAGAGAGAGAGAAAGACAGGACGAGGCAGCGAGAGAGGCAGACATATAAAGGAAGAGAAACATTATTCAATCCAGAAGTTCTAAATGAGATTAATCAGCCTACAGCCAGAGTGCTATTACAAATCTGATAAAGAACCAAATTATTCCATCCTGCTCCACCCATTTGGCAATGCAAAGTTTTACCACACACATATTGTTGTTTTCTGTGAGGAAATGAGCACTTCAGAAACCCCCTCAGACTCCATCAGCCATCGCATCACCGCCGACAGGACGGATCTGTGTCATGCTAATGATAAAGCGCTAATCTATGCAAGTGGCG